TGGTATCTCTATAGAAGTAGATTGTCCAGTCTTCCCTCTGAGGAGTGGCTGGTGGGTTTGAACTGCCAGCCTTCTGGTTAGTAGTCAAATGCCTTAGGCACTACCTCACCAGAGCTCCTAGTGTTTTATATTAGTCAACATTAAAAGTAGATTCACTTTTCTGGCCAAAGTTTGTAGTAAAGGAACACACAAGTGCATTTAACATGTGATTAAGCAAGCAGGGAAAGTGCATGTGTGCCCAAATGGCATATAGGCTAAAGTGCCATACATGTGTGTTACTTTACTGAAAACTTTGGCCAGAAAAATGAATCTAATTTTAATGCACGTCTATAGCAGCTAAGCCACTCCTCAGAAAGAAGGTTGGGCAATCTACTTCCGTAGTGATATGGTCTTAGTTAGGAGACCTGGGAGTTGGGCTTTCCTCTCCTAATAAAGGGTGTATTATGGATTGAATTTTATCTTCCCCAAAATATGTATTGTAAATCCAACCTGTATATTTGTGGATATAATCTCAATTTAGAAATAGACTTTTCTTTAATAAGATCATATCATTAAACCAATCACTTTTGAGAGAAAAAAGGAACAGGTTAGTTACAGAAGCAAGCAAGCAAGAATGTGGTGTTTCTATTATAGCAGCACTAGGTAGTGTAGTGCCTAAGGCACTTGACTACTAATCAGAATGCTGACGGTTCAAATCTACCAGCCACTCCTTGGAAGGAAGGTTGGGCAATCTACTTCGGTAGTGATACTGCCTCGGAAATCCAAGGAGGGGTCGCTATGAGTTGGGTCCGACTTGACGGCACATAACAACAAGAAACTAAAACAGGGTGGTAACAAAGCTTCACATGCATGTCCAGTTTTGTGCACATAATGCTGGTCCTACAGAGGTCAACACAGTGTACTGCATTTTATTTTCTGATTTGATGTCTGGTTTATTTTCTACCACAAGTTCTATTTGTAGATTATGGAGTGATTATGGAAATAAAGTGTGTATAATTTGGTCTGTCTGTGTATCTATCTATCTATCTCTATACTTTACTATCTAAGATCCTCCTATACTCTCATAAGACAGAATAGAAAATAGGGAATATAGTTTTCCATCTTATACACAGAACTTAAATAAGTGTCTAAAAAAACTCACCATCCCATAAAGTTTCCAAAGCTGCAATCTTTATAGAAGCAGACTGCCACATCTTTCTTCTGTGGAGTGACTGTTGTTGTTGTTGTTGTTATGTGCCGTGGAGTCGGCCCCGACTCATAGCGACCCCTCCTTGGGTTTCCGAGGCAGTATCACTACGGAAGTAGGATTGCCCAACCTTCCTTCCGAGGAGTGGCTGGTGGGTTTGAACCGCCAGCCGTCTGGTTAGCAGGCAAGTGTCTTAGCCACTAGTGGGTTTGAACTGCTGACCTTTTGGTTAGCAGTTGAGTGCTTAACCACTGTGCCACCAAGACAGTGTAATTGTTGGATATAATTCTTCTTTGGAGAAAGGCTATATCCCACTTTCTTCTCTGAGGTCATAAATATCCAGAAAAAAATAAAATAAAATAAAACTTGCTAGGGAAAGAAAGGGAGCTCTGGTAGCGTAGTGCCTAAGGCACTCGACTGCTAACCAGAAGACTGGTGGTTCAAACCCACCAGCCACTCCTCAGAAGGAAGATGAGGCAATTTACTTCCATAGTGATACTGCCTCGGAAACCCAAGGAGGGGTCGCTATGAGTTGGGTCTGACTAGACAGCACATAACAACAACATTGAAAGAAACATCAAAGGCTAAGAACATACCTAACTTAGCTCCTTTCTATGTCTTAAATGACTACAACAGCATCTCCTTCACTGTCTTAGACAGAGTCTTCCTTACCAAGGCTCTATACCAATGAAGCCAGTCCTTTATATCCGCTTTCAAATCTTGTTTCATCATTTTCCTCCTAAAGCGTTTAGTCTCTCCCTTCCCAATGATAGCCTCCTTCCTCTCAAGTTATTCCATTCTGAAAATTCTAGCCTCAAACCAAACAAAATCCTACCTCACTCCAAACTCTTCTTGACTGCACCCTTTGTTGTCATCAAAGTTGTTGAAAAAGTCATTCACATTTGTTATCTCTAATCACCTAACTTCCTTTGTTCCTCACCTTACTGTAATTTGGCTTACATGCTTAGTGTTCTAAATTTGCTTAAGGTCATCACAGATTTCCTCATTCCCAAAATCTATGGCTGCTTTTTTGACCTTCAGTGTCAATTGCCACTGATGATTTCTCCCCCATGTTTCCCCACTTTCTTGATTTTTGAGGGCACTTTTCTCCCAACACTTCACTTGTCTTTCCAACAGTTCCTTTGGAACTATTTTTTTAGTTTCCTTTGCCAATCCCTCTTCCTTTGCCTATCATTTATATGTTGTATTCCTCTGTACATACGTTGTGTGTGATGTCATCATCTTCTCATGGTTTTGATTTCCAAGTATCTGTTTGTGTAATAGCTTCAAAATCTCATCCTGAGATCTGACCTTTCAACTCATCTCTCTATGGGTAGAGCAAACTCAATATACACAAAATAGAATTTAGTGGTTATGTGGTTTACTTGTTCATTCCATGAATTATATTATTAAAGCAATTTTGTAGTGAAAGAAGAAAATTACCTACATTTCCATTACCATGCAACTATTTTCATTTTTATGTTTTTTTCTAGTCTATCTATAAAGATATAGAGGGTGCTTAGTGTCTATTTGTTAAGTGAATGAATATACACTTTTATAAAATGTTCATTTATTCAAAAAGCACTTATTGAGTATATACTATGTTTGAGCAAGTCTGGTGGCACTGTGGTTAAGGCACTGGCTTGCTAAACCAAAAGTTCAGTGGTTTAATCCCATCAACTGCTCTGCAGGAGAAAGACAAGGCAGTCAGTGTCTATAAAGATTTACAGTCTTGGAAACAGGGGTTGCTATGAGTCGGAATCAATCTGATGGCAGTGGGTTACCATGTTTGAAGGACCCTGAATGGTGCAAATAATTTGCACTTGCCTCCTAACTGAAAGATTGGTGGTTTAAACCCACCAGCAGCACCACAGAAGAAAGACCTGGTGATCTGCTTCTGTAAAGATTACTGCCAAAAAAACTACATGGTGTTCAATTATACTCTGCAACACATGGTGTTGTCATGAGTCAAAATCAACTTGATGGCAATGAGTACTGTGTTCCAACACCATTTATCATATACTCTGCCTTTCCCCACTCAGTAAATTTAAATGCCATCTTAATTACTGATGTTATACTGTAGAGTTGAAGAACAGTTACTGAAGCCAGACTGCATATTCAAAGCACAGATCTGCAGCTTACTATCTGTAAGATAATACTAATACTAGTATTAATAATATAAATAACAATCATTGAGCACTTACTATCACAGTGCCAAGTATTGTTATGAGCTGTTTGCATGCATTAGTTCATTTATCATCATAGCAACCATGAGAAGTAAGTATAATTATCATTCTTATTTTATAGAGAGTTAACTGAGACATAGAGAAGTGAAGTCATATGCTCAAGGTTACATTTATAGACATTTTAGGTTAATTAACAATTAGGTAGCATAGGAAGTTATGAGTATGGGCTTTGGGGTAATATTATTTAAGTGTGAATTTTGACTTCATCACTGGGTAAGTTTTGGCCAGTAAAACAAGGATAATGTTAGTGCCTAGTGTTGTTCTTAGGATTAAATGAGTTTATACATGTAAGAGCTTAGACAGTCAAGCATATAACCCACTAAACCCATTGCTACCAAATCAATTCCGACTCATAGCAACCCAATAGGAC